CTCCTCTATACCCTCCCTTCCTCCTCCTTTGCAATTCCTCCTTCACCCCTCCTTCTTTCCTCCTCCTCCTACTTTTCTTCTCTCCTCCTCCTCTGATTCCCCCTCCTCTTCCTCCCCTCCTCCTCCTCCCCCTCTTTTCCTTCTCCCCCTCTCCATTTCTCCTCCTCCCCTCCTCCACCTCCTTTTTTCCTTCTCCGTACCCTCCCCCCACCTCCTTCGTACCCTCCACTCTTCCCACACTTTCCCCGCTATATTTAGCTGAAAAATTTATGACACATGACCTCAAGTCGAGTTCAGTGTCCCTCTAAATTTAGCGGGAAAAATGACGTCACGTGACTTCGTGTCACGTCACCTATGAAAAAATTCAGCTTCTCCGCTAGATATGGCAAGAAAACTGACGTCACGCGACCTGTACACCAATTCAACTTCCCGCTAAATTTAGCTGGGAAACTGAATCGGTGTTGAAGTCGTGTAACGTCAGTTTTACCGCTTAATTTAACGGGGAAACTGAATGCGCAGTGTTACATTATGTGACGTCACAGACGTACATACCAATTTAGTTTGTTCGCTAAATTTAGCGAACGCTATAGGTCTGTGACGTCCTATAATGCAACGCACGCGGTTACGCTGATGCTGACGACGACGGCAACGCCGAGGCGCCTGTTTCTGCGTTATACGCAGAAATAGGCGCCTAAGGGGTGCGCCCGAAAAAGTAGTCAAATATCAAACACACCGAGGTCATCTCCGGCGATGGGACGAGCATTGTTCCGGCAGCCAGGTCGACATGTGAACAACGAAAACGCTGCATTTCGTTGAGATTGCAAAAGCTGTTATGTCGAAATGTGTGTGTTATTTCTTCTTTTTTTTTTTTTTTTGATGAAAGCAAATAAGAGCAGTCGAAAAATGTTAATTTTACGCCGAGAGGAACCATAATACTAGAATAGTCGCCTCAGAAACAGCGCACTATGCTTTGTTTTGTTTTTTGTCTTCCGCGGGAGTGGTGTTTCCGGTCGTTAGTTCTCGAGCGCGAGGCTCCCTGCTGAATCGTAGTCCGGGCTGCTAAAGAAACAAGCCGAGCGCACTCGAGATATCACTCCGCGGTTCCAACGGTCAGAGGCGCGATGACCATTCGATTGCCATTGGCTGACAGTGGTCCTGGTTTCGGGACATGCTCCTCCCATCGCCGGAGATGAACTCGGTGTGTTTCTATCTTTGATTTCATTTTTTTTTTAAATATGGATATCGGCCGCGTATCGTCATGATTTCTAGGGTGCTCAGATTCAGCAGAGCGAGTTATAGCCATAGTGGGCGAACTCAGAAACCTTCTCAGGACACCTTTAAGCAAAAACTGCAGCCAATAGGTAGTTTTAGTTGATCGTTCCGTTGACTTCGATAAATATGCCCGATACTCCACCGCCGCCTTTGCGCATGCTTCGTATCGTTATCGGGAATGTCGGAGATATCGGAACGGTCCACTAAAACGTTTTAATGTCCGCAAAACGAGCCCTCAGACTAGAAAGGCACATCTCAACTCCAATCGCGAGGACTAGCCCACGCTTGTAGCTTTGCTTGCAGCCTCGGCTTGAGGCTGAAAGGAGTATAGTGGATCCAGGCAGCGCTGGCTAGCTTGGGGACTCTCTTTCCGGAGGTGCAATGGGGGACGGCGGGGCTTCGGACGCCGGCGGCGCTCCGCGAAGCGGCTTGCAAGGGTGGGTTAGGTGGGTTAATATTCTTAATGAACCATCCGCAGGCGAAGCGGCGTAAAACAGGGAGGGGGGGGGGGGGGGGGGCACTGAGTTAACACGCGCCCCAGTAATACACCCGCCGTCTCCCACTGAGCCTTCCAAATGGACGGCGACCTAGCTCGCGTCCCTGTCATCGCCAAAGCGTTTCACGGCGTTTTACAAGGAGCGCAAAGTGTTTCACGGCGTTTTAGAAGGACGCCAAGACGCACGCGTCTGCCGCTTCGCGCCTCCTCTATTTGTGCTTCAGTGTACGTTTGCGTCTCTCGGTGGTTCAGGAATTCACTGCCCTGACGTAATACGTAGACCTCGTCTTCCAGGTAGTATCGGCTGTAGCCTGGACACCCCGTTGTGCAGGCGGATGAGCACGACCATCCGAGCGGACGAACCTGCATGCAGTATGGCTGTAGACCTCGGAAAGTCGGTAGCAGGCCCGAAGAAAGCACATCTCAGTTACTGTGCGCTGAGGAGGTTCATCGTAGAAGTGCGGATGAGGCATGTCGGCGGAATTCAGACCGGAAGCTAGAATGGCGGGAAAATCTTCAGAAGCGTGCTCAGGAGGTGGTGCAGCGACAAAAACGTCGCCAAAAGGATTGTGAAAAACGCAAGCGCCGAGCTGCTGTCGCTGTGACACACGTTGTGCGGTAGCGTAAATACACTGGGATTTTTAATTACCGTACTCGTAGTTGGGGCCCGTAAGAAATAAATTGCAGATTGTTTTTTTGTATATCGCAGAATCAATTTAAAGATTTTTGCAACGCTCAGCCTTCTTACAAAATGTAGCCAGACCTGGGGGGGGGGGGGGGGGGGGGGGGGGGCGTTTGCCAGTGTTTCAGACCGTGTTGTTATCTAAATATAAAGTTATAGCCGATTTTTTAATTTTTCATGGTGAACATTGGACCCCTTCCCGGTAGCGGATGCCACTCATCCCGTACGCACATAGGCTTAGTCGTCCCGCCTTCCCTAATTACATTTTTCAAAAATTGCTTATAAAGTGTGGATTAGATAACTGCAAGCCCTGGAGATTTTACATCTGGCACGCACCGCTAAGACGGGCAAAGACTGAGCGTTCGGCAAGGCGTATTTTATTTTTGTGCTGAACAAAACACTACAAATTTTTTCGCGGACACCCAGTTCATCATGATGCTGAAACCCTAAGACTGCGAAAGAAACTTTCAGACGAATTAGAATAGTCAGAAGAAAGGTGACAGACAAGGGTATCAAACTCAACTAACAAAATCATTTTCATTCAGCGATTTTATATCCCTCTCTCAAGATCGTCCTCAACGTAAAAAAGCAGCAAAAAGAGACACTGTTTTGCAAGACTTGTTGGGGTAGTTGTATTATGGTACTGAGCAAACGTATAAACTAAAAAAACAAACAATCATTGTTTTCAAGGTGACCCAAATTCTAAGCTAGCTTGTTGCCAACGCACCAAGACACAAAACAATAACAAACCCAGGAGTGAACCCAACCAAAACGGTTACACAAAACCAAACCCTTTGACGCACAGATACACGCAGGAATAAAAGAACAATGTCACGTGACATATGTTACAAACCCACAGATTAAATATATTTGACTCGGTTTTTTGTCGATCCAAACATAATATGAAAGCAAGCATAAACAGTGCGAAAAATGATAACGACGAAGTGTAAAGATGCATACGAGGTAAGCGCTGGAGTATACGAGGCAAGCCATTCCCGCCTTGTTCTCGTAAGTGGTATAGGTGGCCGATCGTTTTGTTAACGCACCGCAGCTTGGTGCATTTAAAGCGAAAAGCACGCGCTTTGGAGTCACGGCGTAAGCAGGGGCGGATCCAGAACTCCGTTTTTGGGGGGAGGGGGGCGACATTTTGTCAAATTGCACTCCGAGAAGGGAAGAGGGGGGGGTCGACTTTGCTTGGGGGGGGGGGGGGGGGCGGCCACCCCCGTCCCACCCCCACCCCTTTGAATCCGCCCCTGGGTGTAAGAAACATATTTTGGTAATTACACTCCATTCGTCGGATCATCCATGCGCACCGAAAGCAAGCCGTTTTGTTTGGGCACCGTCTATATGAAAGAGACGTAGGTTCTTACCGCGACCACCTAGCTGTTGCTGGCTATCTTGATTCTTTTATAGCAACCAACAAAGAAGACGAAGAAACCCAGCGGTCAAAAAGCGCAAGCGCGAAAGCGCGAGGAATTCGATGCTAATCGGGTCGGCGGTAACTGTCGACGGTGGCGGGCTCCTTCTGGTTTTGTGTATATTAAATAACTTATAAGTGGTAACTCGAGCGGAACCGTTTCACCTTCAACTGACCATCATGGCCAACAAGGGAGACTCCCCCTCAGCCGATCTCTCATCGGTGCACCTGCGTCTTCCAAAATATTGGATCGCCGATCCGGAGGTAGGGTTGGCTCAAATTGAGCGCCAATTCTGCACATATAGGATCACTTCTGAAATCCACATGTTCCATCACGTGGTCGCCGCGCTTTCACCAGAAATTGCAACTGAAGTGCGGGATTTGATCCTCACCCCGCCAGCAACGGATCCTTATACCATCTTGAAAAAGGAACCGGTGTAACGCACCTCAGAATCCGAACAGCGCCGCCTACAGCAACTTTTAACTAGCGAAGAGCTCGGCGATCGCAAACCATCATCATTGCTCCGACGCCTGCAACAACTCCTTGGCGAAAGGGTCATGACACTTCGCTGTTGAAGGAACTGTTCCTTGAGCGGTTGCCAACTAACGTTCGCATGGTCTTAGCGACGGCGCCGGATCTCCAATTGGCCGCCCTGGCACAACTGGCGGATTCCGTCATGGATGTGGCTACACCAACGGTAGCACAGCTACCGTTGAACAAGAACCAGTGTCGCCTTGCTAATATAGCAGACGTTTATGTTGTCTAAACAGGGATTTAGCTTCTAATTCGCATTGTTGTCCCCTTTTTGTGGGCTGTTTATACTTAATATGTCATGAACCAACTCGCTCACGTGGGATATTTGGTGCAGACAAAGTTGCTTGCTTAGTGAACTGGACGACTATATCAGTTACGTGGCCAATTCCAAATGTTTCGTAGACGTTTCAAGCTGACGATATTCAATAAGTCACGCAAGTCAGATATAGTGTACATTTATCCCCTGAGACTGTTCTCTTAACCATCATCACTGAGTGTTGTAAAACAATGTTAACCGTTCTGACAACTGGATCCACATGATTGACTTCAGTTTCTGGAAAATTACTTGCTCCACAAAAATGATAGATGATGTACTTACTCTGTTTTCGAAATACTGACTCAAATCGAATAAAGATAGAGTAGGTTCTGTCCAGAAACCGTATACTTTATCTCGTCGCATTTCGTCCAACTGAAATATAAAAAATAGTGAAAAAATGATTAGGAAAGCGCATAATGTATACACCGTGCGTTGTGTCAAACTAAATACAATAAAATCGATTCCATTGTGATTATCTATTAACTTTGTCGCTCAAAATTAGATGAAAATGTATTACATCGTGAATATATAGAAACATTAAAAAGGTTCTTTTGTTTTTAGCTTGGGTTCAGATACTTAATCTAGAAGGTAGTTTATAATTTCAGCGAAAAACAAGAGCCCAGTTATTTTTATAAGCACACTCAACAGCTAATTTTCCCCATGACAACTCTTTGAATCGAGTCATATTGGCTTCGAAGATGAAAACAAGTATGTATATAAAAATGCGATGATGACTTGTTAATAGGCATCAACATAAAAATCAGGAATACAAAAAAAAGAGGCAACCGCGATTAGTTTTCTACATATTTTAACACAAATCACAACAGCTGCAAACAGATGCCAGAAAACCTCTAACGGGCTGAAAGGGAGCTAGTTGATACATTGGTGCAAAAGAAAAGGTCAGCTCGAACGTTAGGAACGAACACACAAAGAAATAGGCATGTTTCTCCTCTCTGTGTTTGTTCATAACGTTCAGCTGACCTTTTCTGTTTGAAAGTAATATAGTAAAAACAATGTGTGTTTTGTATTTTTTACGCGAATAAATAAACCAACTTGAAATAGTATCATGGAAACCACAAGTTAAAGTTGTCCTTAAAAAATGTCGAGTGCCAAATTTTTTCTTTAAGAAATTGATATGAAGTGTGACACCTAATTTCTAAAAAGCATCTTGAGCGGCGACTTACAAGAAGTGAGATAGCATTTGGAGAGCATATTGGTTGAACCTCTTGTTATGATAATGCAAAAAGAGACAAGAGACACACAGAAACACGTCAGACACCAACAGTGCTTCTGTGCGTCCCTTGTCTTCCTTTGCGTTCGCATACCAAGATGTATATGAGAAGTTTTCTTAAATGCAGATCTTTGTTTACTAGTTCAATAGTGTACCATAAAAGAATCACAATTATTATCTGAGTAAAAAAATAATCATTTAATTTTCAGAGTGTCTTAGTTCTCCTGACAAACTGATCATGACGTCAAGGGTTCCGTGAGAACTAGATCCATCATAAGCCAAAGCGTTATTCAAAAATTGTCAAAGTGAGTTCTGTGTGTACATTCATCTGCCTCTTCAACTTGAAGTCCCTGAAGTATTACCCTCAGAGCTTTTGGTCACCATAGTTTCAAGAGATTCAAGGACTTATTTTCTTTTTTCCAGATAGCTTATCACGACGTGTAAAAAAATTGTAGAAGCGCAGGGGACCTGGTGTGTATTAATCAGTATGTTTAAACCCTGAGACTGGGAAGGAAACATGAATGTACTATATTAAAAGGGACAGAAGAGAGGTGACAGACAGGCTTGTCAATCATTTAGACGCGTCTGTCTCCATTATTCAGTCTCTTCTAATATATATTTAAGTGTCCTTCCTAGTCTCAGGTTTAAACATCATAATTATAACAACAGCGGCCGGGCAGTATGATCGAAATAAGCAAGTAGCAAAAATCCGCTTTGTCTTAGCTTGTCTCCTCAGTTTTTCCCCGCTCTTTCACAGTAGCTGTAGTTCACTCATGTACCAAGCGATCTTCATTCAGCTCATATAATGCTCCGCCCTTGCTTTATAACTTCTTTTTTTTTCGGTTTCGTTTGTCGTCTGGTGCTTTTGCATACATTTGTGCGTTGACGACGTGGCATGAACTACACATTGAATGCGGCTGAATGGCAACGTTTCGATGTGTCCGTAGTACCTAATTAATAATGTCTTTCTTTTCTTCCTCTAATGCCTGTACAAAAATTCAGGTTCCCATTTTTGTTTTTTTTTAATTCTCAAGCCGTTCGGCGACTCCCTGCTGAGTCTTTTGTTACACACACTTTGAAAAAAAAAAAAAACTAATATGCAGGATATAAATGGGAGAGTCTGCAGAGTGCCATACATAAATGGTTTCCGAAATAAGTATATTCCGCAATTTTACTTCATCCACGTATGAAGTCGCTATGCACAAAATGTGTTGCGCAGCAGTGTTCTGGGTTTGTGGTAAAGGTTGCAGTTTTCTCTTTGGTTATTGCGTGTCATTTTATTCCAAACTGTTATTTTTATCTGATGGTGCGTACTTCTTGGGTTTATTGTTTGTTCCCCCTCTTAACTGCAATCCCTCCCCTTAGACACCTAAAGTAGTTTACTCAAGTTTACAAATTTCCTGCCCCTGGCGTGAATCAGCTTTTATGTCTTCGCAGCTCCCCTTTGGTGCTGTCGTAGAATGTCCATCTCTCAATCATGGGGTCGTGGGTTTCATTCCAGTTTGGGCACCGTTTTAAATTCTCCGAGGACAGCGTTGCGTCACGCTTTCCTCGAGAATCCCTGCCCATAGTCCGTGTTATAATGAGCACAATCAATAAAACGTCTCTAAAAAAAATTGAGTTTTTTTTTTAATTTTTGTTTAACGATAAAGTTAGCATTCCGGATCAGGCACCAAAGCTTTGGAACTAACCGTTATGTTATTGAAAAGTTGTGAATTTTTTTAAACTTAAAGGGGAAAACAGGCAATTTCCTGAAGCTGACACCGCCGCCATTTCCCATTGAAAACTTTGAAAAACTGCTTAACTTTTTTTTAATCAAGAAAGTTCAAACACTGAAAATGGAACATGTGGCTTGTACAACGTTACATTTAGGCGGAAACTGAGCGTTCACCGATGCGTTGCTTATTTTCGTGGTAAAATAAACAGTTTTTTTTTCTTTCTTTTTTTTTGCGAACAAACATTGTATTTTGTGGGCCGCTAAGTTGACAGGAATGCGCAAGAGGCGTCTTTACAAGACTAATTGATCGCCTGGCTTTCGTCGCATCGCCCCGCTGTCTGTGCTTGAGCATGCGCAGAGTGCGTAGCCAGGGTTGCGAAACCGAAGGTTGAATTGTTCAATAAGCCTATAGCTACCACAACCCCTTCAGGTCATGGGTAAACGGAGTATAGTAGCCCCTACATTAATGATTCCGACCATGATAGAAATTTAGTCGTGCGTCCTCAAAATGTACAAGATAAGAGTAAGCGTCTGGCTTGAATTTTGTTATAGTTACTCTCGAGGGCTTGATACCGTGATGTTTTAAATGGGCAGGACGAGCACTAATACTGCTTCATGGGTTTTAGATCGGAACGTAACGGAAGCTAAAAACTGAGACAGCTTACCTTAGCCATAGCTTTTTCCATGCTAATGATGCTCCTCGCCATGGTTTCGAGATTTTGCGCATTATTGTTGAGCAAGAGAATAATATTTTTTATCAAATATTTATGTTCAGTTTCGATTGCCATAGCTCTCCTCTTGCCAATTCCATTGTTTGGCCACTCTGTCCACGGCAGTGCATACGATGAGGCTGTAGTGAGCTGTAAAAGGTTATTTATTTATTTATTTATTTATTTATTTATCTATTTATTTATTTATTTCATATTTCATTCTTGTTTATTTTCATTTTTTATTTATACTTTGAACGCTCTAGAATACGTTAAATTCCCAAATGTCGACAACGATTATATAAAGAAGAGTAAAATGGGCATTTGGGCGAGTGGTAAGAGTTCATCGTTACTTGCAGCGCGACTGGGACAAGGCCACACAGAGGAGAAAGCACAAAACAAGCGCTGTTTCAAAATAAAAAAAAAAGTTATCGGAAATAATAAGAAATTACAAATCGCTATAATTCCCTAAGCGCCTTCAGAATATTAAACATGCTGAATAAACCTAAGACTGCGGCAGAAATGAACATTTAAGTCGAAGGAACAGAAAGGACAGGACGACGTCTCAAGACGTCGTCCTGTCCTTTTCTGTTCGTTCGACGTTTACTGAAAACAATTTTCCTCTTAAACGGTTTTCGGTTTCTGTTATGGTTACGGTTTGAGTCCCTGACAAAAAGAAAAATAGTTGAAAAGAAAAGAAAAAAGAGCAAGCTCGACCGAACATTTAATCTCTTGCTTTACGCCAACGACCAAACCAACGAGATTTAAAATTGCGAGGCTATGCTATATTGTGTTTTTATCTACTTTTACCTTTATTTTGAAATAGCCTCTCATAGTAAGGTGCGTTCATACATTATAGCAACCCTTTACGTCGACGTTTCTCTAAAACACACAGCAAAGGACGGTATCGAAGGAATCTCTTTGTTTTCTCGGAGGTTAGTTATCACGTGAGACTGTTTGTTCGTTCATGTGGAAATGATCAAAGACAGCAAAGATCGCCTACCCGCTACCGCCACTCTTGCCTTTCAATTCTCGGCGCCAGAGATCGCTTTGTTTTTCACCTCGTATATTTTTCCTGGCTTGCTCGCATGTGCCCTTCCCTCCCACGTGAGACCTCAGGTTTCCGCGCTGAGCTTGACTAGGGTCAAGAAGCCCAATTCTTCGTATCACAAAAAAAGGAGTAGCACATTCTTTACAAAAGGCAGTGAATCAAGGTGATCTTGATTGAAACATCCGAACAAAGTTGTGAATGAATGGACGAAAAAAAATCAAGCATGTTCAAGTCAACACGGAATCCTCCCTCGACGGGCAAAGATGACGATTGTTGCAACTCAAGTCCAAAACAACATGTGAAAAAGACACAACTCCATTATTCTTTTTAAAGTGTTCGTGCCTGTTTTCTTTAGAATTATCTGGGTTAAAAATATTGACAGCCGTAAAGTATTAACAAGTTAGATACTTGTACTAACATGTGCTCAGGCATTGTAAATCAATAGGCTCTTTTTATATCATATGTTTTCACTTTGTTTTGTGATCCCGAGATTAATACGTCAAGTCTTGAGTATTTTCATCGCAAACAAACACACTGCAGACATATAAAACGCTTTCTAAGCCCCGGGAATCTGCCAGGTACCATAGGAATCTTCTTTGGTTAGTTCGATTTCTAAGACCTGCCCAATAGGACACCAATCAATGTTTGATTAACTCGACTTTGAGATATGTTGGTTCAGGTACTTTTTTATCGTTAAGTAAGAAGCCTTAAACAAAATTTTAAACTTTGCTCAGCGTATTGTGAATAAAACATCTGTGTTAATGGACTTATAATGCATGGCAACTTGCTCAAATTTAAATGAAGCATTAAAGCCACTTAGGTAATTAACTTATATTTGAATGCATATTAGAGTCTCTCACCTCTTCTAGCTATTCCTTTTTCAAGCTGAACAAACCAAATGAAACCAAGACAAAATTCACAGAAGTAAAGTAGAGCTGAGCTAGGTGGTACTTCGAAAATTCACAGTTCAGCGCACTTTCGTGCCTCAACAATTGTCAAGTACCTTCCTGTAGTTACTAAAAAAATAAAGTAAATTACAGGAATTTGAAGTTAATTAACTTAAAGTACGCTTAAAGTAGTACAGTACACTTACGAGAGTGCTACTACACCAATAGTAGTCTAATTTTTAACTGCGCTTGTTTTCTATTTGCGAGGGTACTTTCAGTGCGGCCTAGAAGTACACTTTGGTACATTTAAAGTATTCTCTGAGTAGACTGTCATACTGAAAATATATTTCTTGTGTATTAAGTACAATTATATTGTATTGCTTTTTACCAAGGTTGCCACTCGCATTTTTCCTTTAAACTTCGTTTCAATGTTAACTGAACATACTACTTTTCTGATTATTTAGACAAACATAAACTGGCCATATTTTATTAAAATGTAATTCCTCAAAAATGACTTCGAACTCCGAACGTAGACTCGAGAGCTTGATCGAGTCCTTTGATTTCTCGGATATATGTAGCGTCTTTTTTTTACGGTTGAAAGATGGCCGGTAAACGAATTACAATAATGTCATACAAGGTATAAAACTCAGAACGAATCTCTAAGTATGCCAGTTGAATAACACAATGTCACGCTTCTAGTCAGTAATGCGTACCTGAATTATGTTTGTGGGGAAATTTTGCTTGGTTCTTGTCACCTCAATATGAAATAGAGGCTCCAGACCTGTAATCTTCAAAACGTCTAGGTAGCTTCTAAACTTTTTCATCGATGGCCAATCTTCAATGCCGTGCTCTTTCAGCACTCTCCCAATGGCTGCAGGTTCGCCTTCATAGTATCCTGGAAAGAAACGTTTTTACTTTACACTCACTTGGAGATAATTGAAACTAAAAAGTATATATTTTGTGAAAAATATTCGACGAAGAGCGTTCTGAGTGTTACATCAAAGTGACTGCATTTTCTTCAATGGGGACTCAGCAAAAATTCGGCTCCTAATGAAACATTTTTGAACAATTTTGAGCACTGAACAGTTCTGCGTGTTGCTCTTAGCCAAGCAATCTGGTTCCCGATGTAAATTGATCGCAGAAACCAAGTGCAAAAATAAAAATGTACAAAAGAAATTTCCACATTTTATGAGAACAAAAACTGACTCGCTTAAACAAAGTAATAATTTCGAACAGCCTTTGTTTAAGTTGTCTAGCATATTGTGAGGTTCTTTCAAGAGCTACCTTACACAGTGCATGCAAAGTGTTAGGCTAGCTACTAAAGTAGCAAGCGAGCGCATGAAGGAGAATACGAGGAAGGTGTCTTTGATCAAGGCTGCTCATGCTTTCAAAGTGATTTTGTTTTTCTCTTTTGAAGTTTTCGTCTAAAACAACCCATCACTGATGCATTCATCATGAGGCCACAATCGCTTCGTTTTCGTTTCGTTTCCTCTTCTGGTTAGTCACAGCGTAGGCACGAGGGTGGCTTTACGTGGAGGGAGAGGGCTAAAGGAAATATAAACAATACGATGCACTAATTATCATCTAGCACAGAACGCCGAAGCACACAAATTAAAATATAATCATCTGATTAATATCACCATATACGTAGGAGATGTAACCCGTTCAATTATTTTGCATGCCACAAATGATGTACAGTGCTCCTGAAACTTAACGTCACCACTGAAATTGCCGTTTATGTCAATCTGTGCGGCGGTCGATTGAACAATTTGAAGAATGTTTGGGTTCCCGCTTTCTATCCATTTCTTAAAAGTCACCCCGAAAGTTTTCGTGAGAAATTTAACAGTAAGTGTCCGGCACGAGCTCCATGTTTGAGAACCCAGTGGCGGTGTTAAGTTTGGGGCGCACTGTACCTTCTAGGCACTTCCAATAAGCTTGCAGATTTTGTGCTGAAGACGACCCTTCTTTGTTAGAGACCATATATCTGCAAGTAAGCGAACATTAACTGGGCAATGATGCGTGCTGTAGTCAAGGTTATTGTTATACGAAAATTTATCAACTCTGATTTGATCAAACATGTAAACTCATCTGGGTTTTCTAGCCCCTTAACTGGGGACTTTTTGACCAAAAATATCTGTAAATTAAGGAGTTTTTTTTTTAAGTGCTTCTAGCTCCGAAGGTATAATATTAATATCAAAACCTAAAACAAATTGATTTATATCAAGCTGGATGTGCACCCTGGCACTCTCTACAATCCGGATTGGATCTTTCACTGTGCTGACGTTTTGCCAGGTTGCAGCAGGCCCCGAAGTTGATTTTGTTTCTATAAACAATTGTTCCGCTGTGTCATCTTCCATTTTGGTGTAGGTTTCCGGGAAGCATTCCATCGAACTCAAGAAATCAACATCGCAGTCGCTGTCTTTGCGAGTATTTTGCAGCAGCTCAGCGTTTTCTTCGTCGGTCAAGGGACGCGCTGGCGTTTGCTGGACGCCATTTTCCAAACAAACAGTCAAAGGTGTCATACAGGAGTCTTCAACCTTTTTTTTTGTGCTGCCATGAATGCCTCGTTTTAAAACTAAAAATGTTTCCGATGCATGAGGATGGATGGCGCATCCTACCCACCCACTAAATAGAGCGAGCGTTTAAAGACGCGCTTATCAACAGCAAAGGAAGTGCAGCGCGCCTATAGACGCGCCCCCAATCTTCAGTCAAAATTGACGCGCGCCTAAATTCGCGATCCCCAGTTAAGGGCTCAACTGAAAATTACCTAAAACCTCAAACTTTAAGCAGCTCTTATCCCCTGAAAGCTTTCGTAAACATTTAAGTTTCGATTAACAACAGAGTAAATAACTATAGGAAAGGACAGGTCGAGAAAATCGACGACCAGTCTCTTTGGTTCATAAACTCAACATATAGCCATAGATTAATTATTTCACTGATTTTCTTTTTTCACGACTTTATCGCACTGCACAAGATTCGGCACTATTCAAAATGCATGTATTAAGCCTTCTCTTCATAGTTTTAATTTGGATGATGCGAAGTCCTGTGATATTTTTCTTTGGCACTTGGATAATATGTCTGGTCTTGAAACGTTTGTTGCACCATAAAATCTTTTTTTTTCTTTAAAATATTTCGGAAGCTAAACTTGGATAGTAACCCAGATAACTATAACTGTTTGACTCGAAAGTTGCCAAGTGTATCTGTTCTCTGACAAAGAATAGAACTTTGTGCATCGTACTAAATTCCCCTCCCACTAAATCACCACCCAGTAGCATTTGGACTGTTTCCACTGTTATTCTTTTTTGTTACAGCGACGTTGGCCACTAAAGCAATGGTACGAAAAAAAAATGCCACCAACCTGAGTTTTCATCAACATTTAAAGAGACGACAGTATGAGGCGAATGTGCCAAAGCGACCAAATTTAAAGCTCTACATAAGAAGAGGCGTTGTATAAATGCAGAATGCGATGTCTAACACAAAATGCGATGCCAGCACACTGATATATTCTAAGAAAATAAATATAAGGAGCCTTCCCTTTTTCGTTATCAGCACAATTGTTCCCATCATAGCCCCACATTTTCTGTACTTCTTTTTTTCCACATTCCTGCGAGCGAAGCCAAGGCTTCGCTCGCAGAAATCTGGAAAAAAATACTTTAGCAAAACCACACTACTGTGTGGTTTTGCTAAAGTATTTGAAACCATTATGCAAGAATGTCTTTTAGCTCATTTATCTAAGTATCTGACGCTGCAACAACATGGTTTTATTAGAGGGCGCTCTGTCGAAACTAACCTTTGTACTTTTCTACACTACGCAGCCCCGGTCGTTTCAAACCGAGGGCAGGCTGACTCCGTATATTTCGATCTTACAAAGGCTTTCGACAAGGTTGACCATGCTTTGCTTGTACATAAAATGAAACAATATGGTTTCGCCCCTGAACTTTGTGAATGGGTTTATAGTTACTTGTCATCGAGGAAAAATTTTGTTCGAGTTGATACTGTTTTATCTAATCCGTTTTTCCCAACTTCAGGCGTACCCCAGGGGTCAGTGTTGGGGCCACTGTTGTTCCTGGTATTTATAAATGATATTTTAAAGTGTGTAAAGTTTGCTAATGTGCTTTTATTTGCCGATGACATTAGGTTATTCTCAAGTATTTGTTCTGAAAAAGATTGTGATGCGTTACAGTCTGATGTTTTGAGTATTTTGCAATGGTGCTCATCCAACCGTTTGCCCTTGAATATAAACAAAACTAAAGTCATCTCGCTAACTAGACGTAAAAATCCCTTACATTTTAAGTACACGTTGGGAAACTGTATTATTACTCGAACTGATATGATCAGGGACCTCAGGGTGTTAGTCGATTGCAAACTGACGTTCAGTTCTCATGTAACTGCTATTTGTGGTACCGGGTTCAAAATGCTTGGTATGATCTCCCGTTTGACTCGGCACTTCCAAGCACCTGAGGCCATATTACGTTTATTTTGTGCTCTGGTCAGGCCCAGGCTCGAATTCGCTTCTGTCGTGTGGAACCATTTAACGGAGACTGAATGTAGACGTATTGAACCAGTGCAAAGGCGTTTCGTTCGCATAGTCTATGATCGATACTTCCACAGGAGACTTTACTTCGACCACCATTCTGTGCTTAAGATTTGAATCTCACCACTTTGGATGACCGAAGGCATTGCCGAGATGCGGCTTTTCTACAAAAGCTTATCCAGGGTGTAATTGACGTACCTGACCTTTTGGGCAGCATAAAGTTACGTGTGCCAACGAAATTCACGCGACAGTGCGACATGTTCTACCCCAACATGCGATTAAAGGAGTCACCAATCTATCGTATTCAGACATCATGCAACCTCCTTGTCTAGCACGATTTTTTTTTCATGCCTTATTTTACCTTTAACACCTGATGTGTATTTTATGTACTTTGTTATGACTGTTTTATTATGCTGACTGTTCTAATATGACTATTGTGGTTTCCATATGTTTGCATGTTTCATAGGAATCTGACTTCTGTGCACCAATGTCAAAACCATTATGGTGTTTTTGGGCACGCAATAAATAAATATCAAATAAATAAATATCAAAGGCTCGCAATGCGAGCCCCTCTCCACCCTTCTCCTCCTCTCCCCTTTGAGCAGTTTACAGGAGTTGAATTCTCTCTTGCAGTTTATGGGGTGTACGAGGTAACATGTTCACCCATAAAGTTTTAGCCACCAAGACATATAACAAAAACGGCTGCTTCTGAAACACGTGTTGTAGTGTTCAGTCAGTTTGTTGAAACTACACCTAATAAAGTATGATTCAGTGTCGCCATGCTTGCAGCACAGTCTAATCAATATTGATTATTGTTTAGTTCCTGGCAGGCGCTAGTGCTTGAGTCTTGCGATGTGTATCGTTTATATAAATCCCCGACTGTGTGCTTTGAACAAGATATAATATACTGGGGCAATGAAGATGATGACATGCCATTTGTCGCCGGCTCCCTTTCTAGCCTACTTGCTTTATAATCTTTCCGATTGATATCGCTAGCTACGCTACGCTGCACTGATAGCGCAAGCACAACGTTGGCGCTTGCTCACCTTCTACCTCGAACAGAAGTTGGCGGGTACCAAACTTCACGGCTTATTTCAGTGAACCCAAAAAGAAGTTACCACCACTCTAGTAGTTTTGATGACAACCTTTGAATTCTAGAGCAAGGCAAACAAAAACGGCGATAGTTTTTTGCTTACTTTTTTCACTAACAACGTTGTTCTGAAAATAATAAAAAGATTCTCAGGGCCACTCTGAGCAGACAGCTGCCATATCCCACTAACAGTGGAAACGGCACAGTAATATTGTCACGAATGACAATTCATGAGGCGATGATAATTGAAGAAACTAAACGTTTATGGGGCAAACTTGTTCCCCCCCCCCCCCCCCCCCAAAAAAAAAAAAAGTGAGAGCCGTTTACAGCTCCTTGTAACGCCGAATTACAGCGCAGCTCTTGAGGAGGAGTAGGGAAGAGTACTTGGGGGGGGGGGGGGGGGGGGGGGTCACGTGACCTCTTGCTCCAGCGTTCGATCTTGCTGCTTCGTCGTCATCGACGCCTGCGACGCTAACCTTCCTTCATCTTGTTTCGGGCACAAGTTTGCCCTATTAAACGTTCATTTTGCTTCGGTCTTCGTCGCCTCAACAATTGCCATTCGTAAAATATTGAATGTTTTTTATCAAAATAAAATTTGACAGGTGTTGCACCCACACCGTACTGGTTGCATGAAATATTAAATAAATATTGTTTGTTCGACTGCTACGCTTAGAGTATATATGCCTTCATTACACCCCTATAAACAGCTGCAGCGGCGCGCCCAATTTCTTCATTCCACAAAATGCGCGTCTCGATTTACTATGAATAAGCGTAAGCTATATTTATTGGTAGAATTTTTGGCCAGCTAACATTTTTCTCGAAAGACTCCCTTTAATTATAACTAGAAATCTTAGGGTCAAGACATGTGCTTAAAATAAAAATACAAGTAAAAATACTGCACTGCTAAAAACTTATTTCAGTCTGAGCGGTGTTTCAAGATCGCGGGTGCCAATCCTTTTAAATTAATTATAAATTTTACCCACCGTAATGTCCCAGACATGAGCGGTATGCAGCTTTCACCATATCCGTTGCATTCATATCCTCGCCCCGATGAACAAGACGGCTCGTGAGTAGACCTGGGTAAGAATTAGGACACATAAATCTCTCAAATTTCTTCACATCGTACAGTCCCATATTCGCGAGGCTTTCCGCATCATTGATTTAGAAACGCTGACAACTTCATGTTCTTTCGGTTGGTTGTACTGATAATAAACTATTAGTTTCGGCTAGTTGGTTAGGCATATTAGACAATAATAGCACGAAGAACAGAAAAGAACACGAAGACGACGCTATACCAGGCGGCGTTATCTATACTCACAATTGCCGTTGAAATGCAATTTCAAAGAAGACGAGGAAGAAATAAGGGTAGTTATAACAAAAACTCAAAGGACAAAATCAAACTAAAAAGAAACTCAAGAAACAGGATACATGAAGTCAAATGCAGTCAAAAGAGAAAATAAATTTTCACAATAAAGGACATTACATGAAAACTAAAAATATCAACTAAGACAATTTTTCAAACATTATTTCAACGAACTTTTTGTCCAGTTTGTATTGTTAGTATAACTACTGACTTTTTTAGTGGGAATAGTTATTAGGACTATACTTCTTTTTTTTTATGATTCAAATAGAACACCAGTTGTGAGTATTGAAATCGTGCGACACGTATAGGGGGCGCCCGGATCCGCCTTTCAGATGGTTGGTGGCATCGCCACCAGTAACCGCTTCCATGTTACGCCACATATTGAAGCGCTGCCGTCTCTGCCCTATTCTAACGAGCCCGCAGCTTCTTTGCCCCGTTTAAACTTTCTCGCTCCGTGTTTCTTGATCTAGCACCAACACCGGACCAAATGTTTGGCACCTGACATTCGATACCTACCTGCGAGCGTTGCGCTGCGTGTGTTTTTCGTTACTCGACCCGCAGGAATCGTTTGGTGGTCGGGCTCAATCGTGTATCCCGCAGTTGGGAGGGGCAACGCTGCAAGCGTACCGCTATGTTTTCCGTTTATCTGCGCTGGAAGATACCCCTACGAAGCGTTTGTGTGTTCGATGGCTTGGAAATCATCAGTACGGAACGGCATTCACCCGCACCTCAACTGATAAAATCTACGTCAGAAGTATTGTTCGCTCATTTTATTATGTGACTGCTCTTCGTTTGCCGGTGGATTCACTAGACGTGCTGAGATTGAAATGATAGCGCGGCAGTTTTTGCCAGCGCATGGAGGAGATCTATGTTCTCAAGTTCCAGCTTTTGTGTAAAAAAACGTTAGCGCCAAATGTGGCTCCGAACGTGTTGTACAGCGCTGTGCTCAGGTAAGCTGACATTCATTGGAGAAAAAGGTTAGCTGTACTACAGTTGCCTAGAGAGGGGTAGTTGGTTCACTCGGCAGCGAAACCGGTTATGGCGAGGGTACCCGAAAACGTGGAAGAAAACCGAGGATAGCGGTGGCGCTGTAGTCGACTTTCCTTGAACAGTCTCAGCGGCAGTGAACTGCCAGCGTGTTGCGGTCGCTCCCAGTTTGCGGCCTTTCATTTAATTTGAGGAACATCCGCTTTTTGACGGAGCGAACATTTTGCACATACACAGTTATGAAGCCTGAGATGTTCAAGTAAAGCAGAAATGGACAAGGCAACGAATCGCAAACGCAGTTGGGGATTAATTGACCAGAAAACGCGAGTTGACACATAGAGGAAAAAAAACACGTGCCTAAGCTTAGTGTGTTTACGGGCACTAGTCCGGCTGGCTAATCCCCTACAAGGTTCACCACACCACTGAGACAAAAAATAGGCGCGCAAAGACCCAACAAGGAAACATCCCCCGAGAATAACAGAGCTAACATATATTCCTACTTTTGACAGAACCCCCGTAAGTTTCTTCTTACTACAATCCGCTTAACGTCAAACCAGAAGTTAGGGCAATGAAGAGAAATAGATAAACTTAAAATAAACTCCTCTACCCATTAATACCAACGAGTATGTCTCCCGCAAAGCGGGACGTACACATAAATACACGATTCAATATTCCGCAACGCATACGTCTTTATCTACCAGAAGTTCGGGCCCCTTTCCTTCATGACTAGTTAGACAGATTGAGTGATGAGAGGGATTCGCCTCTTCAGAGGGATATATCCCATTGGTGCCATCGTTGAAAGGGGAACGAAAAGACAAGTCATTGGCCGTGCTCCAGACCGACTAGACTTGGTTATTGTTAGCGGTCCCGCAGGGTACAGAGCGTTTTAATAAAAAAAAATGCTATTTAAAAATGTTTTGAAAAAATAAAGAAAAAGGGAAGTATTCTGGTAGCAAAACGGGAAGTGTGCACTATTTTGGGCGAAGATGAAATTACGTCTACTTGGAAAGGGATAGATGAATACAGGTTTTTTTTTTCACAGCGAAGATTTTCTAAAACAAATGTCCAAGGCTCTCTCAGTGTTTTCTATCCCAGTGGTAATTGATTAAAATCGCTTATATGAGAAGGTTCTTGCAGTATCTTTTTAGGTAATTCTCTGGGGGTATGTTTCTGTGGAAAGAAATCCTGCTCTTTGAATTTACTAGAAGCTACTCGAGACTGGTCTTTTTCCCGTTCATCAAAACGCTTGCACCTTGGTGTATTTATGTATAAAGAAAATCTATTATTGTATGGACATTAACATATTATAGATCATTTCCTAAATTACCCAAGTGCCAAGAAAGGTGCGCGTGCTAGCGTTTGCAAAATAACTTTTCAGAGCAAAAAAGAAAAAAAGGAAACACGTTGCACGCACGTTTTCCAACAACTTATTTTGGTTGTCTGCGTAATTTAAATATTTTATGCAGATAAGGAGAACGCGCGCGCGTACTTGCATTACCAGCATTCTGCTCGATATAGGTAGGTTGGCAAAAGGCATACACCATTCCAATATTTACAAGTCCCTAGCCCAACGTCCGACCTTCTCATCTCAGTACGCGCGCATGTCCTTCGGAAAGCGAGCAAATCACGCGCCTTAGGCACGAACACTGGAAATAAAACCGTCCGATGGCCTTTTTTTGGTTATGTTCTTATTTAACAGAGTCAGAAACATTCTGGAACATAATTTGGTCCTTTTCAAAGTTCGGGCTGGTATCTGGTTACTAAAACCCTTTAACTCTTTTTAAGGTGAAGTACAGTAAATTTTAATAACAAGTCTGATTCAGCGAAACAGCGCGAGCTCGCTGGCTTCCGCAGTGCTTTAGTTGCGCGTGCCTGCGCGTTCACAGTTCTGTTAGCAAGGGTGGGAAGATCGCGCTGAATTCGGAGCTGCTACTCTTAGCTTAAAGGCCGGTTCTCACATGCAGCGAATCGCTGATGCAGCGCTGTTCATGTGCCATCAGCTACTTATTGTCTGTCATCAACACCAGCTTTTAAGGTGCAATAAAAAGTTGGTGAACGCACCCGTTAGCATGCGCTTAGCGCAATTCGTGTGTTCAGAGCAAGGAGGTTAGGTTAAGAGCCACTCACTCACCAACGCACTGCTTTGGATCGACTGCGTGAGTGCGCTTGTAACGGCGGAAGGTGCTACCACGCTGCTTCCCCAATTAGAGAGCGACATATGATTTTGGAAATTTAATTTTTATCAGAATATAATTAAAACGGCGGTCATCGCACAGAACTTTGCATGAGTCAACGGAACGGAGGCGGAGGGGACGGAGAACTTCAAGCGAGGGCGGCGGTGGCGTCCTCTACTAGCATCCACAGAAAGAGTAACCTCTCCGGCCAGCATGTGGACTCACCACTCCTCTCTAGTTCACTGTAGCTGTACCGCTGCTGCACAGGTTGTCTGTGCCTGTCCGACCCTGTTCAATGCGAAATGCTTCTGCCAGAAACCACACCGTGACGCCACTGTCTTAACGCCTGCTTCTAGTAAGGCTAGTCCCCTTTACGTGCCCTTTTTTTTATTTTTTTATTTGTCTTTCGCGCTATTCACGTTTAATATTGCACTGATGAGGCAGAAGATAAGCTTTCTTACCATAAAGTATCTTACGAATGTCCACATGATGTTTAAGTTCTCGGTATTCTGCTGGATCTTTGGCTTCGTCAAGCTTCTTGCAGACATATTTATAAAAGTTTGAGCAGGGTGGTGTTTCATTGTTTAAAGCCAAAGTTTGTAGAAAACGATTGCCTGTAATTTAATAAAACTAATTTTAGACAAGAATGTTAGACACCGGTAGCTTCCGTCCTTAAGTTAAAAAAAAACATCAAATAGCCGCAATCATTGCTATTTTAATCCTACTTGGAAAGAAGCTAACCAAAGCCGGTTAACATGGCTTGACTTTTTACTATCCTTTTTTTTTCAAGAACAGCAGCGGAAGGCGATCGAATTTCGGAATCTGGAAAGCTTTATTTTATTGCAGGTGCATGCTTTTATTGTCCAAGATAACTCCTAGTCAACAACTCAAAAGTATCCTCGATGTTCTTCCTTGTTGTTCAAACGTTGCAACGTTTTTATGACTAGGAACTTTGCAAAACGTCAAAACTTATGTAGAACACAATAAATTGATTACCGTTCATTCAAGTAAAATAGTAGATACACACTGTGCTGACCTACAAAAGCAGACTCTGCTTTTGTGTAGGACCAGAAAACCGGAACCTTGTAGATAAAGATCCGGCCCGATTGTACTGGTTAAATTTAATGCGACAAAAAACTTCCCACTCGATTTCAATGGCCCTGCAAAAAAACTTGTAAACAACAACAAAACGCAACTGATCAAAAGGGAAGCGCAAAACTTGTCAATTTCATATTAACTTATTGCTAATGTTACCCTAGCAGCAAATTTATCTTTTGTCAAAAATATTTGAGGTGACATACTAATTCTGCAGTAACTATTGAAATGGTAACGTGCTGTAAATGCACCTAAAATATCTTGAAGATAGATTTAAGATCGCATGATTAAATATTAGGAATTTAGCCGTCCGACTTGGATAGGTTATAATCCAAATCATAAAACTAAGAAAGTTTAAATTATTTATGACTATAGTAACATCACCTTTAATTTTAAGCTGAATGCATAAATGTCCGTGTATAAAAAAAAACATTTAGAAAAGCAAAAATTTGGCTTTCCATGCCGTTAGACCAGAGTTATCAAAGAACTATTCTGTCACATTTTAACATGAGTGATTTTCAATTAAGTGAGATTAGCTCAGAAATGCTCAGAGAAAGTGTTGAGAGATCAAGCTTGTTCTGAAATGAAGCTTACATTTTGTGATTATAAAGGCTGAGGAAATAAAGTTCAGTGCAAAAAGATTCCCATTTGGTACTTGCCAAGTGCTTTGCAGGTTGGAGTGTTGCAAGTTTCAAACTGGATCTTTGCGTTACCTGAAAATTTAGAAACTGTAAAATATGGTATACTGTTCTCGGTTGCATTTGTGGTTCCTATTCACACAGTGAAGAATTAGATTGTAGTAAAACGCCACAGGGTAAACTGAAAAAGTTCGCATTCAGGCCAGCAAAATAACTAATATGAAACAGAATAGTATGGAACACCGCGGTATTATTGCGCCACGGAAAGTGAATATATTTTTATTTGAACCGTGCTTATCAAGAAACAAACAGCTCCATGGAAATATAAAAAAAAACTAAATTTGAAAGGCTGACCCAACAAACTTATTTTAAACTCTTGTTTTCCATCTAATAGGGACCAAAAACGATTTTGATAACAAGATATTTTGCACAAGTTATCTTACTTATTGTGGCATAAATGGAAGGAATAACGGCTTCTTTCCCCAGGATAACACCATTCTGCCGTCCCGTTGCAAAGCAAAACATAATTATATTTTAATCTGCAGAACCACGTGAATGTCATAAAAACCATAACATGGTATATACTGACGCGCGTCAGGTTAAATTCCTGCTCTCAATTAAGTTGCTCAAAACTAAACTGTGCAGTACATCTTGTTTCTTTGACGCATCATTCTGAGTCAAATGTAGCGTATGCACTCTAAAAAATGGCATATTTTAAGCCCCTTGTCCTATATGAGACAATCCAAAACTTCAGTTAGAAGTACAGCACACTGTCGTCGAACCGACGGTGTCAACTTTCACGAGCAGCTTGGTAGCCGATTGGTACAACTTATTGAAATACCTAATGTACAGGGTGTCACAAAAGAAAATTTACACGATCTTTCTTACCGCAAAAATAAACTAGGCATCGCTGAACGCTCATTCTCCGCTCAAAGGTAGAGCTAGAGGTCACAACCAGTTGCCAAAGTTTCAGCCCGATCCGATAACTTCATCAAAAGTTATAAGTGATTTTCTAAAAATTTCAATGGGAAAATGGCGGCCGACGGAGTTTTCAAACACATGGGGCTCTATGGCACCAGAAACCGAAAACGGGCAAAAATGAGCTCCATTTTCCCATTGAAATTTTCAGAAAATCATTTATAACTTTCGATTAAGTTATCAGATCGGGCTGAAACTTTGGCATCTGGTTGTGACCTCTAGCTCTACCTTTGGGCGAAGAATGAGCGTTCGGCGATGCCTAGTTTATTTTTGCGGTAAAAAAGACAGTGTATATTTTTTTTGTGACACCCTGTACATGTCACACACTACAAACAGAAAATTTGGGTTTCCTTAGCCTTAGAGCAAAACCTCAGTGTTTCTGTTTCTGTAGTGATGCGTACTTTACCTACTTAATAAGTTATGTCGCACCGTTACCAAGCCCCTTCTAAAAGTTGGGGCCGTTATTCAACGTCAGTCCGCGTATGCCGAATGGAAGTATTGGGGTGCACTATATGGGACAAAAGGGTACAAGGCGACACCTTTTTTTTAGACTGTATAGTCAAGATGTAGTGATGCTTTCAGAAAATGCCCTACTAGGGAATAGATCTTTCACTGGGACCATCCAACGGCCTTGGCGCCGGCAGCTTTTGCGTGGTTGGATCTGCTGGATGTGCCTAGCCTGAGGCTTTTCCCGTTGGAATTGGGAGGGTTGGATGCCGCCATCTATCGCCGCGGACAGCTTTCGAGGCAGCGGAGACAGCCACCTCTGCCGTATAGACTGATCTCACCAGCCATTTTGACTGTGCCACCGCTGCCTCAATGCATCGAGGGAACTTTAGTCCTTTTGTACGTGCTGTAACCTCGCTGGAGCTCTGCGCGTGTAGAGCACCAGACTTCACAAACCCTCTCGTGCACAGCAGTCCGCCTCCTGCTAACTAAAGTAATAGCGGCGTCACGCATGCGCCGAACGCTTAGTGAGATCGGTCTATTGGCGAATCAAATTCCCCAAGGCGCTCTTAGAAGTTTATTTTCGCTAATTAAAAATTAATTAGCACGTTTTGTCCAATTATTTAGCTATTTACTATGTTTTTGCAACCCCTGACGTCCACCATGGCTTGTGGTTTCTTTCCCGTAAAGGGTTTAGTTCTGTGTCAATCACTTTTTTTTAGGGATTTTGAAGTCTTCGCTGAAACATCATGTGACCTTAGGGTGGCAGGTTTCAATTCGTATATAAATATATTTCTAAGAAACGGCGGTGTCTTTAATGTGAATATTGTCTCTTGTTTAGCAGTCTCTGTGGCTACTAACTTCACTAATAAATTAAAATTGATAAAATAGCCAGGAGCTAGTGAGACTCGCGCTCACTAGCTCCTGGATGATCGGCTTCAAAATGAACGCGCTTGCTTACGCCTTCCTGACGTGGGAGTATGATTTACGGCTCTAATATCGCTCGTAATTGACAAAAGTAATATTGCTTACGAGGATCGTATACTCGTGACAGGCACCTCGTGATTATCTCGGTAGCGAGTACTTGGCGGACACGCTGATGTCACGATGCCGAAATATAAGTTGATGCGATTTGCAAAAAGGCAACGTGCGTTAGATTTATTCATCGATCGTTATTCACGTTTTTCATCCGATTCCGAAACAGGATCAGATGAAGCACCGCATTCCGCTGCCCACGAAGGTACGTACATTGAAAACTCAATCCTTTCGGGAATTTGTCTTTACGGAGCTTCAGTAGGTTGTTTTTACGCTTTAATAAGGATGCACAATGGCGATGCCCAGCTCGGGTGGGGTATCGGACAGCGTTAGCGGAGTGCGAAAAACGATCTACAAGAACTCCCGAAAGTCGAGTGCCTAAAACGATTATGAACATAAATAGATTGAAGGACCGACGGGGACATGGGTTGAAGACGGAATGGTGTTAGTTTCGTCTCCATGTCCATATCCCTGCTTGTGTTTCGCGCTATTTATATTTATTATGCTTCAAGAGATGGTGAACCGAAATTTGGATTTCAGACAACAATGCAGCAGGTGTAGGCGGGACGTTAGAGTCCGTACAACACCACCCGTAAGGCGATATCTGGAATGGACGTCCGTATTTTTGGAAAAAGAGGTCGTGATTGTACGAGGACGACGAGGCGCGTGACGTCAACATATCCCGTTTCCTCCTCTCTTCGCTACGCCGCCTCAAGGCGGCGAGGCAGATAAGACGCGAGGCCGTTCCCTCTCCTTCTCGACTTTTCTCGGAAAAACAAGCCGTCAACACATCTCAAATGCGCCTCCGTTTTTTCTTCCTTTTTTTTTTCTTTTTTTAGAGAAATACGTTCATCCGTTTGAGATATCACTGTATGAGTGATGTTTTGGTGTTTGTAGCGTCCCATTGCATGCTTCTGCCGCCTTGTTTTGTGGAATCCAGATTTCGGTTCAGCATCTCTTTAACCAACTAGCCCAGCCTAATATTTTGTATTACGTGATTGCTCTACGCATCATTGCAGGATGCTGTTTGCGGTTTTTTTGCACGGAATGTGTTTTATTAGCCCAATTTCATGAGAAAATACTCATGAAAAGCCGTTACACAAAGCGTCATGAATGACCATCACACCAATTTCCCCGCTAAATTTAGCGAAGTCATGTCCCGGGACGTCAAATTTCCGCTAAAGTTTAGCGGGGAAATAGATGTTACGTGACGACGTCATATGACAAAGTCACAAAAACTTAAGCCACGTGACCTCGATTTCTTCGCTGTATTTGGCGGGTAAATTGATCGTGACCATGTCTAGTGACCTCAACTACGTAACCTCAAGTTCCCCGCTAAATTTAGCAGAAATATATTTATGTCATGCGATGTCACCGCGTCA